GAAACCAAGAAGCTGAAAGTCAGGGGGCTTGAGACCCAAGTTGATATCTAGCAGTGAAGAAGCATGATTTGGTTACAAGATCCCACAGTAACACCTTGAAACACCAAAAAAAAAAAAAAAAAATTGTTCATAGGGTCTTCAGGTGAAGTAGGAGGCTCTCATACAGTCCTCTTCCCAGGACAATGGAACAAGGAAAAAAATCACGTTGAGATTCTGCTGCCTGAAGAAACTCAGAAAGAAGTTAAGAAGAGCTCTTGGGGTGCAGAGCTCTGTTCCCACTGGAAACAGCTTGGCACACTGATTTCACTCAGCCCAAGAGTACATGTGATCTTCTGTACGTTTCCTACACCCATATCACTTTTCCTCTGATTCTTCACTGCCTCAAATGTTGAACAAGTTATTATGTAAGGACCAATTCTCACATACTGAGACACAACATAAGCATGAAAATATAAATACTTAAGTGTTCTCTTCAGGAAAATAAACTTTTTCCCTTTAATTTTAAAAATGTCCTGTTACCTACAAAAAGTCTATTTCAAGTTCCATCTTTGATAAAAGGAAGGGGAAAACATCCAACTGCAATTGTTATACAGAAGTCTTGCTATCACACAATTACAGATAGCTCAAAAATCCTCCTGGATTTTTTCTAATGACTTTTTTTGGTTCAGAGATATCAATTCAAGAGTGTAATGTGCATTACTTCAAACTGTCGGAAGAAGCAATTTTACAGTGTGATCGACCCTTGCTGATTTTGTGCAGCTCTTCAGTAATTATATTAGTAACTGTAGGCAGGCATTACACCCAACACTGACAGCACATCACAGATCAGCATGACGCTTGATTTAACGAAACAAATGAAGCACAGGGTAGAAAGAAGGAAAGTTCTGATGTGGCAAGAAATGCTTACACTTAGTTGTGTATAGAATTGGTATACATATGGCCTGCATCATGAAATGACAAACCAAGAAAAATACACATCATCTTGTTTTTGAAGAATGATAACTGTATGGCAGCCTGTATGTAGGGATCAGTCACCCTCACATTGTTCACTGCAAAACTTACAGATACATCGAAATCTTATCCTATGGTGGGCAATATAAATGAGATTATAAGATATTCTTGAATATGAAAATTTCACTTTATAAGAAACTGGACAAAAATATTTAACAAAAGTAAAGCAGTTTTTACTGAGTTGTGGCACATAGGGGGTTTTGTGCATATACAGAAAGAATTCAATAAGGCTTCATAATAGTTAAGGTAGAATATGAATAAAATGTAAAACATTTCAGGAACTCACAGAAGTTGAATGTAGCAATGTAGAACTTGAACCAAAAAACCTGTTCATTGCAAATGAAATCAGTAGACTCAGAGAAGGGCAGTTACTGATGAACAAAACAGGTCATTCAAAAATTCTTTCAATTTCATAAGTCCAGTGCTAAGCAGTATGTGCCCACCCCACATCAATGGAAACACCACCACTTACCACCACAACTTCTGCTCTACGAGTTGCTAAAATCTGCTGTTCTCTACCTCAAATCATCAAGCAGACGCAACGACTCAGCTCTGAGGATCTTGCTTAGTTTCATCACTTTCCTGGGAAGTTCCAGGTATTCTGCACAGATGGAGACTTTGCTCTAGTTTATGTTAAAGAAATCACATGGCTTTCCCAGAGACCACACAAAATGAACCAGCTGTGTATTTGTATCTAAAAATAAATTCATACACCAGGTCTGCATGATATGGAATGAAAATGTTTGGCAAGAAACCTAGTTTAAAGACTAGTAACTATGATCAACTATGTTCATCTAAATGCCATTCAAAACACTGAAAGTCCATTAAACACACCATAATTGCACCATAAATACGCAATAGCAAATACCCATTCTCACAAAGAGATCAAAAATTTTACAACAGCCAAATCAAAGCAGTTTCAGTTGGAGAAGTAGAAATGACACAGTGATGGCATCCATATCACAGGATGATGGAGATTAGAAGGCACCTCTGGAGATCATTTAGTAGTTGGGAACTGTCAATGTTAGCTTAATGGTTGGACTGGATGATCTTCAAGGTCTTTTCCAACCTAGACAATTCTGTGATTCTATAGCTCAACCTCCCTGCCCAAGCAGGTTGTTCACAACATTGTCCATGCTGAATCAGAGCTAATTAAACCCTAAACTGGTTAACATGAGTATTACAAACACTTCAGATTTTTATGGTGGTAGACAGGAGGATGATAATAGACAGGAAAAGTCATGACCCTGGAGAGGTTTTCATAGTTTGGAAGTAAACAATTTAAATTTGAATTAGAAGAATGTTCCTGCCCCCCACTCCCAAAACAACAACAAAAAGCAAATCCCATAAACCAAAATACCAATCTCTCAAAAGAAAACAACAACAAAAAAGTATAAGGAAACTGTATCACAATTCTTGTTTTATAGGAGAAAGAATGCCTCAACTCAGACCTCAAACCCCTGCAGATTATTGTCAGGGGCATCCTTAAGAAAAAACAGTGCAGTAAACCAGTATAGAAGACCTGGAGTAACATACTCCAAGACATTATTTCAAAAATCTTTAGAAATAAAACCTATACACATGCAAGTCATGAACAGCACTTACAAAAGCTGACGCCAGTCTAAATTCAATACTAAAATATCACGTTTCTCAAAAAAACAGACATAACAGGTCCCAGAAGTCATATAATCAAGCTGACTTCCTAGACAGTCTTAGCCACACAATCCCCTGTCCCATTTCCTTCACAGAAGGAAAAGCAAAATACCATCTGAGTTGGATGAGCTCAGTACTGTTCAGTTTTATTATTCCCTCCGATGCTTTAGCTGAACTTCATACACCCCATACTAGATATCCCCTCAGTTCACTGACCAGCAGTTCTCCTAGTTCACTTTCTAGAACCCCCCACAAAGAGGAGGGGGAAAACAGCAAAACTCAACAAACAGCTAAGAAAAAGAGAGCAAAGATTTAATTATAAGCCAAACACAGATGCACTAGCTTATTCACTGCATCTTACCATTCATTGTTTGAAAAGAACCACTCCGACTTGTTTTTCATCATGGTATCGTTAAATCGCTGATGTTATATTAAAAACAGTACAGTGAACATGCTGATCCTATTCCTTATTGCAGGCAGAACAAAGGAGAGAGGTCACAGAAGAAAAGCTGAAGGGAAGAACTAGCTCTTCATCAGGCAACATAATTAGATCACACCTGTTCTAAACAAAAGTTCCTTAAGAGCAGTCTTTGCCTGGGAGGGAGAAAGGGGGGAGAAAACAAAAGGCAACCCAGTTTCCTTCTCTCTGGTTTAACTAACAGAGCACATGTACTATATACAAAGTAAGCAGAGTTAAGTCCATAGCAAATTGGCAGTGCATATTTTTAAGTATTAGATAACTAGAGTTGCTATTATTCTCCATTTATGTTACTATTTTTAATTTTTTAAATGCAACCTGTTAAACTGTTAAATGGAGACATAGTAAAATGCCAGAGTTTATTTTACTGATGCCTAGCAACTTAGGGTAAACATAATATAGCATTTTCATAAATCATTTTCTTTCTGTGCTTTTGCATAAACCTGTGCATGTATTTTATAGCTTTTTAAGCATCTGGTGAACATTTACAAATCTGTAATGGAACTGAAAAATATGTTTTGAATTTGTCTACAGTTCAGAAGAAAATAATGGGTCACTGTCATTGTGCAACTCTTCCTTCAGTCACAAGTGAAAGTTACAAAGGATTTTCCCTTCTTCAGATTTCTCTTTCTAGCTTTATTGGAAAGCTTGTCTTCTTGTTTAAATGAATTTCCTTTTAATCTGCTCCCTGAGCTGCTGGATAGATGGAGCCTCTTAAAAAATTCAGGATATCACTGTAATTGTAAATTGATCTGCTTCTGTGGCAGAAGGCTGGGGCCCTCCATCCAGGAAAGAGACTGTCTTCTCAAAGTTGTTTTTCAGACAAATGATTAATTTGCACTCTCTCTTACTACTATATTATCCTTTAATGGAAAAGCAGTTTTTAAACAGAACTACTGCTTTTAGGATTGGTTTATTCATGGCAATATACAGAGAAGAAAGTCAACTTCCAAAGCCAATGTGAAATGTTTACTGGCTTGACATTTTTTAATTTCCTAAAGGAGACTTCAACTCTGCTTACATTGGAACTAAAACTGTATTAGACAACTAAAATGCACATATTCATCACTGCTGCAGTTCTGAATTAATGTAATATATTAATAGACACATGGAAATTCCCTGCTGATTTTTAATGCAGAGTTAAGGTTGGAACACTGTTATGACTATGCAATCTTTAAAACAGACACGTAACTCATTAGTATCAAAGTAGAGGAAATTATCTATCTAGTGTGGTGCTGAATCCACACAGCCTATTTGCCTTCGGCTCTTTGGCTATAAAATCTGGCATCACTTGGATTATTACACCTAATCCATCATTACCTTTCATGGTTCCAATATACTGTGCAACAAACCTAAATTTAACAAACCCAACTCCCCATCAATTACCACACTGAATATATTACATGTCAGCACAGAGCGCAAAGATTAGACATGCTGAATTACATCTTGCTTTGTGAAAAGTCAATATTTTTAGAGCACCGTTAACGTTGCTGACTCCAATTGTAACAAATGTTTCTTCCCATTGTGGGCAGGCACTAACGCCATGACCTTTGCTATTTACATACAACGCATAACTACTAAACAAAATAAAAAATCTCAGAAGACAGAGAAAATACATAAAAGATCCCAGTAACAGTGTCACAGAGTCACAGATGTGGGGTTTTTAATTGCCATATTCGCTTGCCTAGTGGAAACCTAGAAGATGACCTTTTTTTTTTTTTCCTGTAAGCCTACAAGTAAACATTAGTAATTTAGATTTAACTTTCTCTCTCCACATACACAAAGGACACAAAAAGGTTATTACTTACAACAGAAAATAAATACGCTGCTGTTGCGTTAACATAGCATCCCTACTTACCGGTCTTCCACAAATACACCGATGAAGTTTGAAATTCACTTTGTGCACGGGCGTCCCAGATTCCCAGCAGCAGAAGCACAAGAACTCCCACGCACCGGGCTGGCACAGCAGAAACCCCTGGACCACGGCAGAAAGCAGCGCTCCCCTCGCTCAACCCCATGTCTCCAGCAGCCTGCTGCCACCTCCAAAATCCGCAGCACAACCACAAAACCTTCTTCAAATAATATTCCCCTCTTCAGAATTTCTTCATGGGAGAAGGGGACCGGAAACCTCTCCCCCACTATTGTGCATGGCAGTTGAAAAGGAAAAGCTGTTTAACACCAGGGAACAATAGAGTCCTTGCTCGCTCTTGCTGCTGCAGCGGCGGCGGCTGCTAGTATGGTTGCTGCTCCACGCTCTTCCATTCAGCGGTTAGTAGCAGTTTTCCATGAGCTAAAAGCGAGACAGCTGTCCGCAGGGGGCTCCAGCTGACTGAGCAGGTTATCTTGCTCTGGGAGGCAGCAGCAGTCATTTACACCAGCTGGAGAGAGTGAGAGACAGAGAGAAACAGGGATGAGGAGAAACACAAATAGCCTAGTGCTGTAATCTCGACGTAGAGAGTGACTGCAAAAGGCTGGCTTCCCAGACACGTCTCTCCCTGGAAAATCCCAACTGATACATACCAAGAAGAAAAGAAGAAATCATCATCAGACATGCTTCAAAACCCAAGTCATACAACCAGAACAGATAAAGCCAGAACGATATGTATTAATTAAGAGCACATCAGACATTTGTCCTGACAACAATATGTATGCTACATTAACTATTTTGTAAACAACAACAACAAAAAAGTGATTACACATGTATTAAATAGACAGTTAAGACCTTATGAAGGGAAACAGAAGAAAATGCAGAAAAAATGAAAAAAAAAAATTTAAAACACTAACTTGACTTGCATATTTATCAAATCTATTTCAGGTAATAACATACAGCTATTTGCTGTGAGGACAGATGAATATATGTACATGATAACGTCTATGTATGTGCAAGCACGTCACCTCTGTAGTGGATGAAGTGTGCATGTAATATATAAGGCAAGATAACATCCTTGCCTATCCAGCAAGTATGTACACATATATACATGCATAAATGTCAACTGTGTCATTTAAAATAATGTGAAGATCAAGTTATCAATCATTTTTAAAACATACACTGAGTTTTACATATGAAAGTGTTCAGGATACATTAGGCTATCATGATGATACAAAAACGTGGAGAGAGACAAAGCTTTTTAAATAGGGATCTTTATCTCTCCCACACACCACCCAGTGAACAGATGAATAACAATCCTAAAGATCGAGTTTCGGACACCTATAAACTGGAAAGCAAATGAGGAATTCTCAAGAAAACCGCTATCACATTTAAAAAGTTTCATTAAAAATGCAAACAGCTACAAAAATACGCAGTAAGAACACAGGACACAGAGTTTGGAAATGATGGAGCTATTATTGTTTAAAGAAGAAACCTTCAGCCAGCCTCTCTTGGGATGCCTGTCATTTTGCACAACCTTCCCAGACTCAGCCTTTTCACATGCATTAGATTAAAATCAGCCGTGATCAAATAATTCCCAAGTCCTTGCCTGTTTAAATATTCTGACATCAGAGCAAATTAGCAATGTTGAAGGTTGCAAATTCGTCTTTGTTTACTTTCCACTCTGTTACGCCTCTAAGAGGGAATTAAAGGCTCAGGGAGCTCTAGCACTGTGAGGCTGTGATTAAGAGAGATAAGCAAGTGTGGATTACTGTTCCTCAGCTGTTGAAAAACAGGCAACAATCAGGAGATTATAGGTTGATAAGGGATACATAGAAAGCCATGATCTTTACAAATTTATAGCATCCTAATGCAGAACTTGTACCCTCAGCTAAAGCACTTCTGGAAATACATTTTATTTATTTCTGCTACATCATGCTGTATTCACTTCAGGAAGCATGGAAGCCCCTTCAGCCTTTGCTTTGTTGAACTGGACAGAATACTACTTTAAATTAAAATGCTCTCTGAGTTCATGGAATTGTAGCAACTTCACATGTAAATCCGAGGTTAAGTTAGTCACATGGGAATTGAGAATATCTGACCTAACAAAAATAATGCCAGCTTCAAAATTTATGAAAAATAAGACTAAGAATTTAAGAGCTTAAAAAAGTTTTGAGAACATCAAGAAATCTGTGGCAATAGCTTTACTGAACTGCACCGTTAAAATAAAACATATAAAACATACATTCCTTTGAAAAATAAATAGTAAAAATGTTGGCTTTGTGGATAGAGCTGTATACCAGGGGAAAAGTCAAGTTTATAGTGCAACTAGGGGAAAAGGCACCCTTTTCAGAGTTATTAAATACAATGGATTCTACCTAGAATTTCCATGAAAGAAAGCCTCTGAAAATAGTTTGTACGTGACTCAGATCATCTGGAAACATCATCAGGGAACAGATCATCCATGTAGTTGGCACAATGAATCAAAGTGGGTTTTGACAGCAGAACAAAGCAATATCATGAGAGGGGGTAAGCACACATAAACAAACACTCAAATATTTTCTTATATTTATCCAACTATAGGACCACATACTTTAAAATTTCACTAAAATAGAGATTATTAAAATAAAATAATTTCACACTACTTTTTATAGTTGTACCATTTTTTCTGTCAAGAATTAATGAACTATGAAAGAATAATTTCACCCTTTTTTTTGGTAAGAAGCTATGATGCATTTAAAACTGTTCAGAAATATGTCACAGAGACAGAATGGAGGGAATATTTATTATGCAAATGTATTTGTGTGCCTGGAAAAAAAAAAAAAAAAAAAAAAAAAAAAAAAAAAAAAAAAGGATACCTGACCTGCTGTTTTTAGGAACCACTAGATCACTTCTGCAGTACATACACTCATTTCTTATTAATCAGGGCAGGGAAAGGCCAGTGAAACCACAGGCCCAAGAGTAGGCTGATGCCTGCAGAGACACCCACCAGCCTAACTGCAGGAGTTAGACTTCAGACACAAGAGGCAATATATCCTGATGGCAAACTTCAGCTGTTATCAGCACACCTCACCCAAAGAGCTGCTGTTACTGCCTTTTCCACCGCAGTGTATCAGTACACTCCTGCCCTCTTCCTATTTGCTACAGTGAACATGGGACCTCCCTCCCAGTTAACAGTGCGACCACTATTTCCAGCCCACGCTGGCAACCCATCTTCTAATACATACCTAACGATCATAATTTATCAGTTGTTTATGGCTTAGACATTCCCAAATAAATGGTGAGGTACTTCTGAGAAGAAACCTCTAGGAAAAGCATAGAAATAAACTACAATCAACATTATTATCTGTATCACTAACGTAATAGTGTCAGTGTTGTACCTTGGAGCACCAACCTATGAGTCTCAGTAGACTTTTAATCAGATACAATTATTCATCTGAGGCACAGGAGCTATGTGGAGTCTGTAAACTGCTCGCACAAGTGATTGACAAGTTAGCACCTTTTTGTTTTCTATGAAAAACTATGACTGACCTCAAAGACCTTTACGAAAATGAGGTAGAGTTAACCATGAAACACTGGAATTACTTTGTTCATGTTTCTTAGCATTAAACAGAGGATGAAAAAAAAAAAAACAACAAACAAAAACCAAAACATGGAATACCTTTTACTTAGTGGAAAGAGAAATGAGAACAAGATATAAATTTCTTAGCTGCTGGGTATGAAAAGCTGCCTGCCAAACAGAATCACCCTGCTGGTATTCCTCTGCTAGCATGCAGTTCTGTGTTAGCACCCTTCTCTGTTTATGAAATGTCATGGATAAAAGCTTCAGGATCACATTATCTTCTACCTTGAATATGGTGTTTTCCTACATGTAGTAAAGTGTGCAGAGTACAACATATATCTAGCACATTTGTTTCTAGAGTCAACAATACTCAGTGAAGAGGTGTGTCCAGCATGACTTTCATCCATCTTCAATTACAGTTTGGTTAAGCCAGAAATCTTTAGAGAAGTTTCAGTCCACTCGTCTAGATCTACAGAACATGTTTCACAAACTCTACAATTGTATCCCACTAATCCATCTCTGCTATGCAAGTACTAGAATACCACAAAAATCATCCAAATTCTCAAGAATGAAAAATGTTTCCTTTCTCATGTAGAAAATTCAAAGTCCCCATCATTTGAACGCTGTTCATTTTGATTTACCTCAAATACTTCTTTCCTTCACTTAGTTATGAAAATGGCAAGTGCTGCCAGAGACAAATAAGTCAACTATCTCCCCAAAAAGAGCTCTAGAGTTATAATGATTTTATTACAGCTAATTCCCATCGGATAATACAGTACCACACATTTCTGAAAAGCACTTTAAATTTGTTAACATACTAACCTGGCTCAGTCAGCATATTGGGATGCCCTCAGATATATATCCCTTGTATGGGATGCAGTGGTATGGTTGCACCCTTAACTTTTAAAGAAGTTAGGAAGGTGGGGTATGTTCCCTTGCATGTACATTTGTTTTGCAAGATCCATGATCTAAATTATTCATGTAACAGCCGAAAAAAGCTTTTGTTCTCTTTACTCCCTGACATCTCATGGGCCAAAACTTCCAGCTCTGCACTTTGTGAGAGCTTGACTTTCCTGCATATATTTTACTACAGGCGAAAGTATATTATAAATATTCTCTTGAGATGGGATCTGCAAGAATTTTATCAGATTATGAGAACTTCAGGCTGGAATATACTGTACAGTGCTCTTCTAGGCTTTGCTGCAGAGCACTGAGTACTCAGCACACTCAGTAATGGTCTATTGTTTTTCTTATCAATGCTAGGGAGCCTAGTCAGGGAAGCCACAAAAAATATCCTAAAAATGAATAATCTTTAAAAAATATTAATATGTTGCAATATACATAATCTCTCGATATCTGGCAGCTCCATTCCTTAATTCCAAGATTAATTGTGTTGTGCAAAACATGCAGTTGATAGGGATCCTAAACATATGGCCTCTAGGTGTCACACTCTACCATGTCATAATATGCTATTTATGGATTTCTCTTAATTCTTTCATAGCAGGTAAGAGACTTGTCAAAGAGTGAAGTACAATTATTTTTGGTTTTGCCAGAGTAACACTTTTTTGCAAACAGTAGAAATTTTACGATGCCTGTTTGTTAAATTTATATCATTCTTTTGGATCATAGATTTGGAGGACAAATCAGGAACTTTAAGAGTTATGTATGGCAGCTGTGCAGAAGTAAGAAATCATTCCATGTACAAAATCACTAGAATGTGTTAATAATGTATACTTAAACACTTCAGTTTTTCTCGATTACTTCAAAAATCTTTGCACCAGGAAAGAGTTATTTTTGGAAAATGAATAAAGATTCTACTTGCATAAATGCATGAGCTGCAAACATCTAGTCATCTAGTTCTGACTTTACAAATGCTTTGCTTTTATTAAGGTAATTTGGTAATTCTCAGAGACATGTCTCTTTTTTGAGTGTTTGTTTGTTTTTTTTAC